AGTTATCTTAAATTTTGTGAGTTAGGATAAACCTCACGAATCTCATAACCTATAAGTGGTCTTCATTTTGAGAAAAACTACAGAAATGATCATTGTGGTATGCATTTATTTTGAAAACAGTCTCTAGCCCTAACTTCATTACAAAAATTTCCATCAAAGGGCATTTTGATATTTCTACTTATCTTCCTAATATCTTTATAACACTAAAAATTATATCATATTGTATTATTTATATATGTACATACATACAGATGCATGGAACATAGGCACATGGACAAAATCCATCTCCGATCTCCACCCCCTCCAGCCCACCGTTAGTGTCCATTTCCCTCCTCTACTGTCAGCGTCCATGGCCAACGTCCGTGCCCTACTATCCCCCTCCCCTGATACTGTTATTCATTGAGAAGAACCCACCTATCGGGTTGTTCCCCTCCTGTCATTGACCACTATGTACTATCGATCCACTCTTTACTCAATCCTTCTTTCTCCATTTCTATGATTTTGTTCTTCACCTCCTTATTGTCCTTTACTGTTTATTTTTCAAAAACCTATCAATTATAGCAGTGAAAGGGAAAGGGGGGGGGGGACGGGTGCCGAAGAAGTCACGAGGGAAGAGAGAGAGAGAGAGAGAGAGAGAGAGAGAGAGAGAAAGTTCTTTTCACTTACACATAAGGTTTATAAACGTGCACACTAGCTTTTTTAACAAAAAGAAAAATAAAAGGCAAAAGTTTCTCTCAGAATGACACTTTAACTAATAGAATTAAGGCTGGGTATTGGTTTCAAAGAAAAATGCATACCATCGTGACTATTTCTGTCGGCTTTCCAAACCATGAACCACTTCATATTTTTCTACAAACCATAGGCCTAGAATTGTAGTTCACTCTTGATCAAAAGATTTGAAACAATAGTTACAGATCATCAGTCATCACCCCTTGTCTGACTTATGGCTCTAGTAACCTAACACTCGACTCACTAACCCTACCTTGTACCCTCTATCTCTCTAGCTCCCTTCATACCATCTACGCTAGCTACATATATCTAGCCCTAGTCTTCTTAGTCCTGCATTTTAACTCCTATCAAATGTCATGTATCTAGAAATGCCTAAAGTTTCCTTGCAAACCTCGGTTGTTCATCACATGTCCTCTCCAATCTACTCCTCCTCACCCCCTCAACCATTACACTATCTATCACCCTCACTGGATCTGCCACTTTTCTCCTACAAACGTGACCAAACTATCTCAATCTTGTCTCTCTCAACTTATATGTGATAGGCACAATTCCCAACAGTGTTCAGAAGACCTAGTTCATTATCCTATCAAACATGGTCCGACCATTGGTCTATCAAAGCATCCTCATTTCTGCAACTTCCAACTTCCTCCCATTGGTTTTCTTGTCGTCCAACACTCTAATCCATACAACATAGATGGTCAGATTTGCTATCATGTTAATTTATCATTTAGTTTTTAACATAAAGTTTGTCACACAACATTCTCATGGCAGCCTTTCACTTTAGCCGCCTCTTGTTACTCAAAAATATTTAACAGCTTAAATTAATATAAAACACGATATCTTAATATATAGATCTTGAAAAAGTATAAAACTTGAAGTTCAAAAAAGTGTCATGGCAGCACTACGTCTTCAAGAACGGGTTATGGGGGTTAACAACAAATTAGATATACATCTTGTCTTCATGTAGCCCTTTTTAGAACACTACATGTGACATAACTTACATAGGAAAAAAAATGAAGAAAAAAAAAACGATACAAAGACTTATATTTCACCCAATTTTGTCTTCTTGCTACAAAAAAAATCTAGAACACTACTGAATGTTTCTGATAAAATAAAATTTTTGAAATTAGAATTCCGTTAGTATTTATAGAGTTTGAATATAATTATGTTGTCAGAATAATATTTTATGTTATGTTTAGAATAAGTGTAGGAGCACATATGTAAAGTTGTCTCCTTATTATTGAGGTTCAAAAACAAGAAGAGGAGAGTGAATATATGGATCTATTTTGGACATTAAATTATGTGTCTACTTATGTTGGATTCTCATAGGACAAATGCATTTTTTGGGTATGCATAAAAATATTTAAATCATAATATAATATTTTTATTATAAAATAATGAAATTTATTTTATCTTATCTGTCAAATAGATACAGGTCTTTGAAATCACGCTAGAATAAGTATATCATTCCTTTTCTTACTATCTTAAAAATCGATCGTCAAACTTTCTATTTTGCTTTCTCCTCTGTTGTGGAGGCCAAACAATCGTAAGGGCTTCTAACAACGATGGTGGAACTAAACACACCCAACATTTGGAGCTGAAATTAAAATTGATGCTCTTGCATGATACTCTCTTAAGGCATTTTCAAGCCAACATCGAAAGGTAAAAAGATTGAAAACACCAAAAATGAAGTATATTTTCTACTTCAACCCACCACTAGAGTAAACTATAAATCTGATCCCTATGGTTTGTCAAAAATAATACTTTTTGTCCCTGCAGTTTCAAAATTAGAAGATGACCATCGTGGTTTGCAAAAAATTCCAAATTTGGTTCTTCCCTTTTAACGGTTGTTAAAGAATTCTATTAGATGAGGGGGGTTTTCATCATTTTATTGGTTTTTTTTATCTTTACCCGATCAAATTTGATTCTATGATTTTGATTCATGTGGTTTTTTGATTGGTAAAAATCGATAAAAAGACAAAATACCCCACATTCATCGAATTTTTTTAACGATCGTTAGAGGGAAGAACCAAATCCAAACGTTTTTACAAACTACAATGACTTCTTGTAATTTCTAAATTACAGTAACCGAAAAGTGTTATGTAGTTTACCCTCTATAACATTCAAAAAGATAGAGTACATCAAATTTGGTCTTTATTTTTGGAAGTCAAAATATTAACCTTCATATTTTATATATTATTATTATAATCGTGTGACTGTAGACAAAACCAAAAAAATTATTTGATTTTTAATAATTATTATACATATTGATAACATTTTATATATTAATCTTTTGTTTTACATTAGTAAATTTATTTATTTTGTGTTTTCCATTATAAATTACATTTAAATAATTAAATTTTTATTGAAAATATAAAACATACATATATTAAAAAAAAAATAGAATAATCAATTTCTGTGAATAGGTCACATTCGGTCCATAGAAATCCCCAAATTCCACCGATGTGGGCATTTTGTGTGGAGTTAAACTTCATTCCATCACTTTCATGTTAAAATACAAAATTACCACTCAACTAATCAAAAATCCTCTTATTCTTTTATTTTAAATAATAAAGGGTAATTTTGTCATCTTATTTGTTATTTACATCTCGATTCAAATGTTACATTTTACAAATCAAACAGAAAGTTTAAATAAATAAAATTGAATTTCATTTTATTCCAATCATATCCAATTTCAAAACCCTTTAAGTTTCAATGTTTATATATTTATTTTAGAACAAATATATTCTGAAAACTAAACACCCATTAAATAATATAGTAAATCAATCTTTAACTAAAAACAAAATTTAAAAAAACCGTTTCAATTAGAGGAGGACATGGTACGATATCAAGTTTTTTCTCTTAATATCGTGTACCAACCAATTATATATTGTATACCAACCACCTATATTTGATACCAATTTTTTTCGGTTGGTATTGGTGTTATACTGACTTCAAGTTACATTTATTAAAACTTGCCATTTTATTCAAATTTTGAATGACATTTTGAGTTTCCATGTAACATGATATTTATGGGTTTCTAATTGCAAAGAATGAACTTGCAAACATTCAAATAGACAAACAAAATAGACAAAGTTATAATGTTTAATATTCAATACATAAAATTATAAAAACTAATAAAATAAGTCAGTACCATGGTACTACTGTGTTATACGACTTCCAATACCGTGTATCAACCAAGTTTGCATACTTGGTACGGTAATACCACTTACTATAATTGGTGCCAATTAAGTTGGTACAAATCTAATTGACACGGTTACTACACATGTAGGCTGGTTTGGTTTAATTTGGTACAAATTGTATCCCTAGGGGAGGTTTTTTTTTTCTTTGCTTTCTCAAGATATTCCCAAAACACCACTGTAGCAACATACATATAACTAACTATTCACTCTATGTCCAAAAAAGGACCATGCCTCATCCTCATGCAAGAATCAAATGAGACAAAAGTCAAACCTAATTTTCAACCATGTGATGTGTTCCTACTTAGTCCTATACTGTCACTAGAGACATTCTCCATTCTCCATTCTCCATTCTCCACTCTCCACTCTTCAAACCCCATCTGCATATCTTTTACTCCATTTCCATTGCTTTGACCACTAAGTCAAATCTTTTCCCACAAAACACAATTATTGATTCTCACACAAACCCCAACAATAAACCCCAATGACCATTTCAACAACTGGTTTTTGTTAAAACCACAGAAAACCCTAAACCATGAACCTTAAACCTGTGGACCAATCGAAGAGGTACACTTGACATTGACAGAGTGGTTGTCATGAACCATCACCTCACTTCTTTATCAGAACAATAAGCACATATGCAATATGATAAGATTTGACCACTTGGGTGTGAGAAATTTCAAATCTTTTTCCCACACAAGACAATTCTTGATGCTAATTTGCATAGCTTTGACCACTTGAGGATGGAAAAATGGAATCTTTTCCCACACAACAGAAATCTTGATGCTTGGTGGGAGCTAATGTGTTCAAACACCAACAGACATCTGTCAAATTTTTGATAAAACCCTTAAAAACCCTAAAAAATGCATGTCAATTGAATAAATGGAGATGACACACTTGACATTGACAACATAAAAGTGTCAAGAACCATCAACCTCAGTCTTGTCTATTAGCATAACAAACAAAGGCTATCCACATGTGTCTGCATTCAAGTAGCCATCAATAAAGCTTTAGTGTACCCTATTTTATTTACCTTAAGCATGTGATCTGCACATGGGTATGTCCATGAGAAGCATGGTTCGGTCGTCTCGGCCGGTCAATGAGAACCGGGCCCACATTGACCATTTACAATCTGTGAAGTAATTCCACATTTCTTCACCATTCTTTCATCTTCTGCAAAAACCAAATCCTGCTTACTATGTACAAGAAAGGCATCCTAAAAGTAAGCCAAAACAACAGTATCAAATAACATGGATTCCCAAGAATTGTCGTTGATTCTTTAATACCTACGCCTTTTTGGTCACGGGAAGCATTTCATCCTCTGCAACAACAGAAAGAAAAATACTTTCTCAATTCATGCTAAAGAGGAAAACATATTTACTTTCCCTCAAGATTACTCAACTCCATTATAACTAAACCAAACAAACCCGGGATATCCCACCTGGGGATGGCGCCCGGGGAGGGTAAGATGTACCCAAATCTGACCCCTCTATCTCAGAGAGCAGAGCGGTTGTTAATGTGAATCTCCACTATGACTAAAACATGCTTATCCGGGGACCTCTTTTCTTTTCTTTTTTTCTTTTTTTCTTTTTTTTTTTGGGGGGGGGGGGGGGGGATGGGGGTGTCGTATATGAGCATGGCTTTTAATGATGTGGAGACATGGAGTAAATTTATTAGATGAGAAAATCAGCATGTTATGTCCTCTTGTCCCATGAAAATCACAACATTTGACTGGACACAGAGTTTCAAGGAAATGTTCAATGTTAGTTGGATGTCAAGACATGGAAGCTGAAAATTGTATAGATATTTAGAAACATTTTTTGGAGAAAGTAAGAAACTATAAACCAAACAAAACGTACCAAATTATACACAACTGTGTGGGAAGCATTTAAAAGAGTATGTTTAACAGAACATTATAATTTAAAATCCCTATAAGTAATCCTTATAAATAGGAGATTTTTGTGAACCAAAATCAATATTGGCAAGTGTTTATACAAGAATGCACATTTAAATCAATATTAGTAAAAAAGCTGCCAAGAAAAGATGTTGGAAGCATGAAATACACCCCCAACCCAAATCCATGAAAATTTGCAAAAACTTCCATTTGCAGGATGTTGCATAAGAATTGCAACATTTCCTCCTTGAAAATAATCCAATTAAAAGTAAGATATTTACTCATTATCATCATTACAAGTAAATCAATAGTATCGATTTGGGATTACAAAGTTCCTTTATTTGGTCTTTGTAAATGATATTTAGATATCTGACATGATAAAAACAATCTCCTGAATGCATTGGATATGCGGGATTTGACGGTACAAAAATTTGTTGTCTCACATTTGGCGCAACATTAGGTTGGGACAGGAGAGGACCTAAGTGGGGCAAAAATGCAATTCTTTCTGTCCCACCAAAATAAGTGAAACAAAAAGCAGAAAGATGGGACAAGATTGGTAAATTACTAAACTACCCGTATCAAATTATAGCACCTTCCATAATTCTTTCACCCGCCTACCTCTCTCTCGTCCGTCCAGTCTCATTCACATACCAAACGCACCCTAAACTACTTGCCAAATCACGATTTGATTTCCGTGGGACAGATGGGGTAAAAAGGTCAGACTCACATGACACTCTCCACATATTACAATTGCGGCCATCATCTTTTTCATGTAAGCACACAACTACCTTCGCTACAAATTAAAAATTGTGTTCTTCCCCATCTACATTGATAAGATGGGAGTAATGATTTTACTTTTTTAAGGTTAAACTAAATTTTCCACTTATGAAAAGCATTTGTTTGAAATGTATGGGCTAAAAACTGCAAGATTTTACCTGTCTTTCAATCTCGACAGCGGAAGCAGCAAGTCTCCTCTTCAGCATTGACTTATCCCGTTGACAAGTCTCCATCTCTATATCTGTCAATTAAACCATATCAATAGTTAGCTACGAGCAACTTAACACTTAATGCAGCATATATCATCAAAACAACAATGCCTCTAACCTAGTTGATTGATGTTGTTACTAGCAAATTTCGTCCAGGGTTTTAACTATGCAAGTTAAAATTCTAAATGCAACGTAAAACACAAATTGCTAGAAAGTAGAATAATACTAACTACAACGTAAAAAATGGAACATTTCATTTTGCATTAAACATCTGAAAAAGGGAAGTTTTTAGATTTTCATGGGATGGAGCTAGTAATTCTTATGCTATTGTGGCTGAAACCTATCTTAGTTACAAATAGCACCTAGAAACATAGAGGGCTAGGCATACCCTATTATTGAAGCTTTTCTATCAGCCTTTCTCTGCTCTGGAGCAAGAGTTAGTTGTAACCAAACATACATAAGCTATCAACATCTTCCTCTCATTTGCAAAGAACTATAAATTAGTCCCATATATATATATAAGGATTTGTGGTACTTCTTCCTATATACTTTTGACCTTGATTTTATATAATGTCAACCCTGTTGCACCAAGGCTTATCGGCTTTGCAGGGATTGAAGAGGGATTCTAAAAAGAAAACCTTTTCACTTGCATTTTGCTAAGATGTTGTCCCCATACCATTTAATTTTATTTCTGACAAAGAACTGAAAATTAAGATCCCAACTCTCTTATAATTTTTGTTCATGCAACAGTAGTTCCTAAAACTATAAGTGAAGATTACCAACAAAAAGTAGGAATATGAAAGATTAATGACACAACTCAAACTTTGTTGCTTCCATACTTTGAAATGGAAGGAGTAAAAAACATGCAAAAGTACTCACCATAGTAGTATGTTGACAAAATCGTGATGCGCTCAGTTGGCTGAAAAGGGAAAACGTTAAAAAAAGATGAAAAAAAGAGAATGGTCAATCATCGGTTAATAACAGAATGCTTTGAAACCAACTAGCGTCACTTTCAATGGAATATCAATCTGATGCCAACATCAATAATCTTTCTGGTTAAAGTATCATCCCTAATGTAGGAAGCAGGGTGCATCTATCTCTTCCATGGGTTCTTCAGGAGTGTAATGGGGTGCGTTTCTACCATATGATCCATATCCCCAATTTGTTGACCAAGAGTATCGCGTATACAGGATATGGGATACTGGATGGTAATATTTTCCGAAAAATAGAAAGATGGGAACTCGTTAAATATTAAAATAGAAATTAGAAACTTGCATCTTATGTGCACCAGGAAGAGAAGGTCATGGGGCATCACAAAGGAACTTTGTTCCTCAAAGTAAAATGTGCTTATTGTATACTTCCTTTGTTCCTAGCAATGTTCTACTGGGCAAATCGTTCAATAGAGACATTTGGCTATTACTCAGGTCTTTAATACCCTCTGATAATAACAAGAGAATCATGTGGACTCAAATCAACATCATTGGTTCTTTAATGATGACAATGAGAAAGTAATCCTAGTTTAACAACTTGCTAAAAAATAAATGTTACAATTTCCATTCGACATCCAAAAGAAGGATGTGTAGCGATCTTCATGGGACAGAAAGATTGTAAACTATATATGTAATGTGTGGTTCATGACTTTTGTTTTTTATATTATCTCTTACCTCCATCCTAAAATTAGAGTTCACTTTTGTTTCTTAGATATAGAATATATGAAGTATTATTTCATTTATTGGTCTAATTTTAGTGTTGTATATGTAGGCATGTAGATAGGATGGTATCTATGTGTATGAACATGTGTCCTATTATTAACTTTTTAGATTTTTTGAATCATTCGTATCATGCACCAGTATACTTGCATCATAGCTGGAGAAAATGGGATTCTGGAAAGATGCAAAAAGCATACCATTACAAATATCCCTTCACGACGAGTGGGTAATTCCTCAAGCTTCTTCAGTGTCTCATCTCCTTTGGTAACTTTACCAAAGATTGCATACTGCACAAAATAATTACCAAGAAAAGTTGTTGAAACTGTCTAAAATTATCATTTGCAGCAATTCATAGAAAGTCCAATGAGCAAACCTCATGATCAAGGTGTGGGGCATCTCCAAGAAGCATTGAAAATGAAGATTGAGCACTATTTGGATCTGCATACCTAAAACATAATTTAAGTAACTATATCAATGCTTTAAAAGTGTAAATAATCGATATTAAAGGAAGCAAAGCAATTACTATCGTGCAGTAACTAAAATTATTAACTATAACTTATGATTGTACATCTATAATGCCCAAATCCAAGAATCTTTCTTTAAAGGAGTTCCTTCTATCTCATTTGCAAGATGATTATTTACAAGACACTTGACAAATTAAAACACGAAATCCTTGATGCATTGCCATGGCCCTATGATCGCCAAAGCATCTAATCGTAGTTGCAACTTCAATCCCAAAATCGTAGTCCTTTTCCAATTTTTTACTTTCCAAATTACATAATTAACACTAATGTTTTTAGCTTTTAACCCTATTTCAAGGCTTCTTATAGTTTAATGTAGTTATCAAAAAGATCATTATTCTCGGGAAAATAGCTAAAGTAGTCATAAACTTTTCACTGGCATACTTGAACAGAATTTTGATCAATCATACCAGACTACCACGACATTACATTCTTATCAATCGCATCCCGTGTATCAAACTGCCATTTAATTGCCTTAAAGAAGTCGTCAACAAAGTCCAGATTGTATTTGACCTAAAGACATGGCATCTAAGTTAAAAAACATGATATACAAATATACATTTTTTAATACTCTTAGTCAAATGGAAAATATAGTGTACAAGTACAAGGGAAATTTGCATCAAAATGGAACCAACTCTATATTCGTTCTCTTTTTGAGGAACCGACTTTCATAACCTGCCTTTTCGGGCCTAGAAGCAATTTTCGCAAACAATTTAGGATCTCGATTACCCGATGACCTGCATTGGTGGCATGGCTTTGATAATTCTGATGTGGCATATGTATTTTTGAAAAAGTGCAATTAAGCTTTACTAAAATTCCACGTAATAATTATAAATAGAAAACAACAAATATAAAAAAAATTAACCCTCCCTTCCTCCTTCCCCCTCTCCAGTCCCACGAGCTTTACTTGATCACAAATGGTAAAGGATTTTTATTTTTTTTCCAGAAATGCAGATACACCTAACTTAAAATGATGGTATGCTTCTGATTTCTGTTAATAAAAATTAACCCTCAATCTTCAAAAATCGGTGTTACCCTCAGCGTTCGACGGCCGGTGATTCCCCTCAACTTTCAGGAACTGGCTCTGTTCTCTGTTGATCTCCCCGATGTTCCTCATCGATTACAGTTTCTACCAAAATCTTCGAGAGTAGTATTTCTGCCTGTCACATCTCACCGTCGCCTATTACCCCTTTCAGTTGAAAGTTTCTTCCTGGTGATCAAAGAAGAGGTCAACCCAATAGTGTTCCTCTTTTGGGCCTGATATAAGCAGGCATGTTGGAGGAGGAGCCCGGTTTGGTTTCCAGAAGCTTTAATTGCAAAAGAGATAACACTTGGGGTTCAATGAGTAATTATAGGATCGAAAAGATAGAATCTTAACAAGAGAACCATTGGAAAAGAAAATCTGCAAGCAATCTAATAGCTATGAAAATCTTGAACTTGGATTAGGGTTTTCTGATCTTGGCAAAGTAGAACTTGTGATCATAGTTTAAAAACTTGACATGGCATCTTACTTTCCGCATATTCGTAATTAAATATATCTTTTTGCAAAATCACTTTGGAGTAACCGACTAACGCTTACCAGCTAAAAAGTCATCACGACCCTAAATTGTTTAAAAAGCTTGCTTCTAGTCCATATACGGAATCAAATTCACTACTGCTGACCTCTTACATCAGGCAAATTAATACATAACAGGAGTTCATGTATTGTTCAAAAGAATGAACAAGCATGCATGTGAAAAAAATAACTATAGAAGTTGAATGACTACTTTATCTACTTTTGTTATTTGGAAGTCCAAAGTTAACTCGGTTGATGGCTTGATGCTCAATAGTCAAAAGTGGACCCTACTTTCGGGATGGAAGGATTATAATAAAAAGCACAAGCACCGAAGATAACAACAAAAACAAAACATATATATACGACACATGCTCAATACTTGGTCACATTACACATGCTTCATGAATATGAATTTTATTAGCACAAATTAAGTTTCTAAATAAGGAAGAACCATAGGTGATCCCTTTGTGGATATCTCAAATGGATTCTAGATTGCTTAGCACTATTTAGATAACACATGATGTAAAAAGGGCACCAAAAAGGGAGGAACATGAGAAGAAGGGGGAAAGAAAACAAAAAACAAAAAACCAAAAAAAGATCTGTAAAGGACATTTACCTCCCCATAGAAAGAATTCCTCTCACATGCTTAACATCACTGAATTCACCAATAATGGTTTTTTCAGCTTCTTTCCTTTGTTCTGCATTCATAGGAGCTGTTCTGCCACCAACAACATCAGCCACTTGTGCAACAAACCCCTTGTCTACCTGTGTCCATTTTCAAACTTTTATCACCCGTATAAGAAATAGTACATCAACCATCTTAGCAACTGCTTCTCAGATTTGAGTAGTTACCCGAAAGAAGTGATTTGTATTATAGCATCCCAAACGAACAAGTTTGTAAATGTGCTCAACCGTTTGTGGAGCCACGCTAGGGTAGAAACCGAATTCAATGTCTCCATAATTTGTCTGCATACAAAAGTTGGCAAAATCCCCATCAATAACATTTCTACAGTCAAGGAATTGAATCACAATAATACTTGCATCATCAGAAAAAAGGTTGCATGGCTTCTATAAGGGAAAGTAGTAAAGGAGGGCTTTGTGGATTTAGTAACAGGAACAACAGCATGGTATGCTTAATGGTCACCTAAAAGATTTATAGCTCGCATTTTTTACGTCACTACAATCTTTAGATACTACTCAATTTAATTAAAATTGGCGCACTACAATGTCTAACTCAAGGGGAATAATAGTGAACAATTTGTCATTAGGCCAAGCATGAATCTTTGCCACCCCTTCCAACCATATAACAAGTAAACAAATCAAAGAAAATGAAGAATCAAGAATAATGGCTTATTTACATCGAAGTTCTGTAAAATATCATAGCACAGTTCTCCGATTTTGTCATAAATTAGTTGTTTGTCAGCATTATCAATTGTCAAGCTTGGTTAGACCCAAAAAATGATGTGCTTGTGTGTCTCTGTAGATCACTTGACCACTTAGAAAAATTTGATATTATTTATGTAGTATGAATGTATAAATGATTCATAAGTGTCTCTAGCTTAGTGATAGATCTCTATGTTCATTGGTCATTCATCAAAGGTTCCTGCCAAAGCATGTATTCCTTTTGTTCTAACTTAAGTCAATACTAAAGCCCTCAAGCTTTCTTTTCATTTATATGGTACTATTTTTCCATATCCAGTTTTTCTTTTCATTTCTAAATACCATTTATAATGGTAAATCATTTTAAAAAGGTAATAATCTAACAATTGAAATTGTCTCTTAGAGACTTGTACATTGTTTATAAATAGTTACTTTATAAATTTGTTATTTCTAATGGCACTTCCATTTGCCAACAAGTTTGTGATGGCTATTTACTTACTTGTACTTTTCATATTAAAAGATTATATTCTTGAAATTTTCAATTTTAATTATAAAAAATGAGTTTTATAATTCGATGATTCTTTTACTCGTTGAATATAATAATCATTTTTAACTTACACAAATACATAGTACCTCACATAACTAACTTCACAATTTATACGGTTCAAGGTAGATTTTGACTGCAAGTTTAATCAAGTATCCATGATTGATTATATATTTTTATTTGTGTTTTGAATGTTAATGCAACATGTAAGGTTTTTTCTCCTAAAGTCTAGAATAAATCGTATATTTCAAAAAATCATCCGTTTCAGGTCTAAAAGTGTGCACATTTTTGTGGGTGAAAGCTATGTACAATCTATCTCTCATACATTTGCAAGCATGCTTCAACTCTTTCTGAACCATGACCTTTGAGTAAATATATCCATTAAACATCACTTCTAATGGCGAGATTGACTTAACTTTTTCTTAAGATAATTATGACGCAGGATTAAATAAACAGCATCCGCCATTGTTGTCAAGGGAGAACTAATAAAACAGAAGGAAATGCTTGTGTATTTAACCCTAAAACATGACAAGACAACCTGAAACCCAGAATATAAGATATAATACCGTCAGATAAGGAATTGCAACCAGAAGGTGTAACATTGAAGCATATAGCTAAGAACCAATCCACCAAATAAAAGAACAGATTAGATTTCAGTTTTGGCCAAATATGACACCTTACGAACAGAATAAAAGATCAACAATCACAACCTTATGCTAACAAATTGTATTCCTGAAGAAGTGGTCATTAGATCATTAACTCATAACCACTCTCCTAAACTGAAAAATGGATTATGTGCGTTTATTGAAGCCTAAAAATATGACACAACAACCCTAACTCGGAATCTAACACACGTGTCAAGTAATCAAGTGATTAAGGATCATTTTTTTGGCAAACATAGAGTGACATTGTACCATTAGATGATTAAATTATGGGTTCGATATGTGAATTTAACCCTAAAACATGACAAGGTAAACCCTAAACCAGATGCCAATATGCGATTTACCAAGTAACAATTGATTAAAGATCATGTTCACCCGTTATGAAATTAGAAACCTTTAGTCTAAGAATTATCCTTTATATTCCCCAATTTGGGAAATGGGTTGTAAATATGAACTGGAACTTAGATTGTAAACAAAGAGATGAGCTACATTTGGGAATTAAACCCTAAAACACAAAAAAGAACCAACCCAGAAGCAAATACATTATTTATCAAGTAAACATTGCCAAAGAACCATGAGTTTTCATATCAAATTGCATACAAGACGATGCGTTTATGTGATTTTGGAGGAATTGAAACCTGAAAAACAACACGAGCTGATCCGAGTAGCGACTCTTGAGCAGAATCGGCGTCCATGACGGAGACAAAACAGAAAATATAGAGGGCAAAAGTAAACAAGATCCGATTGAAGAACAATTTCTTCATATCTTTGGACTTGTGGATGTTGGCGCCCGATTTTACAATTTCAAGGTTACAGTTTCAAGGAAAAGAGCACGGAGATGTAGAAGGACGTTAGTCAACTACACTCGATCGATCATGTCAAGTGAGTCGACTCGGATCATAGAAAAAAAAAAGAAATTTTACATTAAAAATAGAGTAAATTACGGATTTGGTCCCTATGGTATACAAACGTTTTATAAAATTGTAGAATGCCTTGTGGTATGTATTTTTTATTAGATTTGGTCCTTCGACCAAATGGATCATCTACGAGGTCCGTTAAAACCAAGGGCAAAATAGTCTTTTTGTCATTTCTTTATTTTAATTTTTTTATTAATCTTTTTAAATCAAGGTTAGAATGTGTATATTGAAATTTGGGACTTGGAGGGCCAAAAACAAACTTCATTTAATTTATATTATATTAGAAAATAAATTAAATCAAATTATATATTAGATTAAATCAAATTATGTTAAACTAAAATATTTAATATTATAATATAGAGTAAATTACGGATTTGGTCTTTGTGGTTTGCTGTTTTTTACGAAAATCGTCCCTAAACTTTATTTGTTATGGATTTGGTGTCTGTACTATGCACTTTTTGTTGGATTTGGTCCTTCGACCTAACGACCGTCTACCACATTATCAAAGTTGGAGACCTTTTTAAATTAGGGATGAAACTGTATATAACAAAACTTGAAGGGCCAAACACAAACAAAAATCATCTATCTCCTAAACTTCGTCACTCCTCACGAACTAGTGACCTTCCGGCGAAACCCATTTATTCAGCAAAATCCATCTTTCCGACAAAACCCTATTTTTCGGCAACACCCATTATCCCCCTTTTCTACACCACCATCCTCCCCCACCCATATCACCCATTTTCCTCTTCCCTTCTCCTACCTTCATTCCTTTCAAACCTGCAGTTTTGGTCCCTATGATGACCCTCGTGCAAACCTCCTCCACCACTACTCTGAGCTACGATCTTTATCCCACTACTTACTCTGATCAATGATCTCGATCCACTATCCAACAACACCTTTTCCCACCACCTTTATTTTGACTTAAAAAACATATTCTAGCGTGAACCCATCCCATCACTATGAGCTCGCCCCCACCAGCACCACTGTCGGCATCTCCATTCCACCACTTCTTAAACTTCACAACCAAGAAGATCAATCAACAAGATGTATGTTTCACGGGGATGGAATGTAACACCCATCACTTTTGGTCATTTGGGCGTGAAAGATGGGCAGGAAATTGAATATTGGGATCTGGGGTCATTCCCCCTGCCATGAAGAACTTTTTACGGCTGTGAAATCGGGAGAAGTTTGGAGCTGGATGTTTTTCGCCAGAAAACCAAGATTTTTGGTCCTTGTCTTCATTTCATACTTCACTTACTCCTCTCCCTTCTCTCTACTTTGATAACCTTCACCAAGGGCACTGATTTTTCAAGATTCAATCATATTAAGAGCATTGATTTCATCTAGCGTTACAAGGATCAAGATCCTAGCTTTTCACCATTGTCATCTTCTCCGTTAAAGACTCACACCCACCTTTTAGTTTCTTCTTTTAACTTGATTAGAAGACTTAAGGGTCGTTTACCAAACATTTAACTGGGTAAGCACTTACCAAGTAACATTACCTCAACGGATGAATATAGTAAGGACCAAGAATCTTATCCGATAAGAGCGATACAAGAATCAAGAGTCTTACCCGATAAGAGCGAGACAAGGATCAAGAGTCTTACCCGGTAAGTGGGGGAGACGACTCTTACCACGGTAAGCGCTTACCGGGTAAATTATTGTGTACTATGTCGTTTTGGTGGACTAAATCTTACCGGTTAAATACATAATAGTGTTAAATTCTACCGGGTAAGTATTTGATAAACGGCCCCTTACTAGTGCATTTATTCTTCATCTAAGCATTTAAGAGCTCCCAAACATCAAGATTCCAAGTCTAGATCCAAGATTCAAAATTCATCTTCTCGATTTTTGGGTTTTTACCAATTTTCTAGGTTTTCTCCAAAAACCTAGCAATTGAGTTTTAAATGATTTGTAAAACTAGATACATACCTGAACGTGTTCTCAAATGTTATTACAAGCTTTAATTCCAAGTATTACACAATTATTTGGTGATTTGATCTTATGTTCATATTTGATGGGTTTTTATGCATTTTTGGGTAAATATTCATATTGAGGCCATGATAGTGAGTTTTTATGTGATAAATGCCTAATGAGATAGTTATTATGGATTAGGTTCACTATCTTAGGGGGCGTTTGGTTCATAGAATGGAATTCGATGGAATTGGAATTCATCAAATGAATTTGACTTTGAGAGAATGAAATAGAATCTGATGGAATTTGACCATGCCTTGTGATTGCGTTTGGTTGCATGGAATTGGATTAGGGAAGGAATCTATAGGAAAGGAATTGAAATCCTAGCGTATTGCCATGGAATTGTAAAATCTGTGCGTGAAGGAATCGACTGGAATTGAAAGGATTCCATAGTCTTATTCCATGAACCAAACACTCTATTTGGAATTTGGTCAAAGGATTGGACATTCCAATTCCTTTCAATTCCCATGATCCAAACAGCCCCTTAGTGTTTTATGAAAAGTCATATTGGTTGGGATTTTGACCCAAAGTTGGGATTTTACCTATAAATGCTAGTCTCATGAGTTTGAATGAATCTATGAAGGTATTGGGCGACTTACATGGCATAATGAACAAATAATTATCTAAATGTGGATCCATTGGATATTTTCATGAAGTCTTATGTATGGATGAAACTTTCAAGTAGGCACTAGGAGGGTTGAGTGTTGAGGTGTTAACTAATGGGTAGTATAATACATGTCGTGTTTATAATTATATGCATTATATATATAAGTTGGTTCAAGTTAAAGAAAAGGAAAAAAAGAATGGGCCTAAATGCAATCAAGGTGTTGTACGTGTGTGTTTTAAAATAAAATAAAAAAATTAGTTAAGTTAGGGTTAGTTTTGTCATTGGTTTAAGTTGAGGGGTTAGTTTTATAAAACCCACATTAAGTTTGAATTAGATTGGGTTGAATTCCCATCTTTTCGGCTGATGATCAAGCTTCCCATCCACGTCTCCGCTCACCCTAATAAGTTTCTTTTCAATCCCAAAGCATTCCTAAAAAGTGAGGAAAAGAGAAACCGATTGAAAGATGAAAAAGAAAAAGGAGCAACGATTTCAAGTAGTCTCATCGACCTTGAGGTAAGTTTACATCTCAATCTCAAAGTTGGGTGATTAGCTAGTAAGGTGTGAGTTTTTTTTTGGCTTGTTTGGGGTAGAATTGTAGTCATTTCGATGGTTCAAAAGACACCGATTCGATCACTAAAAATGGCACCAACATTAGGTCTGTTAAAATCATCTTTAGAACCCAAAGATTCTTCTCGCTTTCCACTCGAATTTAGTCCTAAAAATTGCTTATCGTTGGTAGGTAGAGTTATGTTATTTTATCACGATGAGAAGTGTGCGGATCATCGAAAGATGGGTCAAAACTACCCGACTTTTGGTCGAGATTGTTGTTGTTTTGACATTTGTTCGAGAGACGTAACCTTTCTGATTAGGCTGCTAGTAGTCGTGAGAGTGAGCTCCTCATTTGGAAGTCAAGTTAAAAATATGAAAATCCTTGTATGGTATGTATATAATGTGGACACATGCATATGGTCATGTTTTCCTTTCGATTCCTTCACAGTTCATGCTTCTGCCATTGCTTCATATTAGTTTTGATTTTTAATTTAAATTTTCTTTGGTTTCATTCTATCTGTTTGTTCCATTTTAGCACATAAGATTTATAGGTCATGGTTGGGTTCAGTTATTGGTTAATGGTTGATCGATTTAGTTAGTGGTAAGAATTAATAGTAAATTTCGGATATTATTTTAGAGCGAGTATAAGGAAGTGGACTCGGTGGTTCGTAAACATTGTGAAGTTTAAGTTACAGATTCCTAATTCTATGCGTTCATTTGATTTGTTTACATATGTTTACGAGCCTTTAAGCTTTCCATCAACTCAGATTAACTGACTCACGATTATTGATATTTTTTTTGTACCGTATTTCCATTCACTTACAATTGTTCTATGTCATACATGTCGTGAGAAAATCACTTTCTAATCATGTTATTTAAGTTGTTCAATGTCGGTACAAATATGTGTTTTCTCCAAAATAATACGTTTATTTGTTCGGTAACATTTTGGTATGATTTTTACCTCTAAAGGTACACATGTTGGTACTTGTAATCGATTATGTATTATTCGATTTGAGCCTCTTTATTGTTACGACTACTTGTTTACTCAACATAATTCCTTACTTGGCTTATGTTTGACTTTTCATTTGATTTCGTTATGTATTGACCATATGTAAGACGTATGACGTCACATTCGTTTTGACAACTCAACTTCGGGTAACTCGAGCTACTAACCACCTATGGGGCTACCATATGCACGTCATTGTGGCATCGATGGCGTGACACTAATCGTGGCAATGTGATCAGTCCACGATGTCTCCTCTTTATGCTCTTGTGAGAGCTATTTTATTGTGATGGATATTAGATTTAGGAGGCGTATGGGTCGGCCCTAACACATGTGATTCGTTTGTAAGGTGGATGTCGGTGTATGTCCAATGCCACATCTCACATTTAGAACGTGTGGATCTGTAGTCCAATGTACAAGCCTGTGTGGCCATATGTCTGACACTTGTCCTATTGGTTATGCAAGTGTATGCGTTTTTCGAGCTCGATTTGTCCCTTCATATGCTTTCGTATGATTATGTTATTTGTTGTTTTTTTTACTAAGATTTTGGTGCTTGTTTTGTTCGATACCTTCAATTTTGGCGTGTTTGTATTACCATTTTACTATAATTGTTTATTCGTTCACTGAGCATTTGGCTTAGCCGTGTTTTCTTCTGTTCCTCACGGCAGGTAATCAAGGGGGCGGCTAAGTCTTGTGACAGAGAGTAGACCAGGATCTCGATTTCAAAGGTTTCGAGAGGTTTAGTGTTATGTTATTCATTTATTGAATTTATTTCTTTGGCTATTATACTAGCATTTCTTTTAAGGTTGTGTTTGGATTTCCTTGAGTTGTTGGAAGGTACTTGAAATA